CCCGAGGTACCACTGTATATTGAAAAATGCATATGTTAGAAATATATCAAAGAGGTACCTTTGCCAAAATGGTTTGTATGATATCTGAGCATGAGATATTTAGCTCTTTGTGCCAGTAGCTCATGGGGAAGCTGGGGAATTCTGGGAGTTGAAGTTCATATATCTTAAAGTTCCCAAGGTTGAGAAACACTGAGTTAACTTATGCGCAGATCCGCTAATTGATAAGCACAATATGCTCATTACTGTTGAAAATACTTTCCACAGAATCTTTTTCATCACCACTGAGAAGTGAATACCACTGAGTTTCATGGGACTTCTAAGTAAATATGCATAGCAATGCGTGTTGCTAGAGCTAAAACATTTACTGTATTAACACAATAGGCTTTTTGTTAAAGGCAGGAATTATCTAGATGGGGCAGATGTAACTTGGATTCCAACATTTGATTCAATGGTAATTCGATCACAGGAAATCACATCAGTTTTCTGAATTTTAAAAAAAATCAAATCACTGAACTGGATGCCTCTGAAAAGATTTGAACTATTTGGATGCTGCTACCCATGCAGAAACAGGATATTTCAAACAGATTCAGGAATCCAAATCGAATCAGTTATTCATTTTGAATCATTCTATCTGAATCAAATCAGATTGATTTTAATAATTGGCACAAACTGTTAAATTGGATCAGTTTTTTTTAATCAAAACAATAGGATCAGGGCTGGTTTGTACACCTCCGGCATCCATGTTGTACCAGTATATTCAAATATTTCTCTTATTTTTCTTTATTTTCTGTTTGTTTATTTAAAAAAGAGGTATGTGCAGCAACCATATATTTCTGCATGAACCTGGCAAGGATATTGCTAGGGTACTGAAGTTGCTTTACTGTTAAGATCCAAGTACTCTAAAACAGACACTCATATGAACAAATTGTTCCTAATCTATCAAATCCCTTTTCAACAATTTCCAAACTTCAAGAACGTTCTCATCTTTGGCATTCAGATTATCCTACTTGGCCCTTTAATTGTTATAGGTGCAAATTTGGCCAGCCTTATTTATGTGTATGAATCTAGTGATGTTGAAACTTAACCAGGTCCAAACAATGGCTTCAATGCTATCTTCGCACAACAATTATTTCAGCTGAACAATACACTGGTTATTCAGTTCACAAATAAGTGTATATCCTATTGCTGACAACATGAGAATTTTCAGTAAAATTAAGGTGACACATAGTTCATATAGTCAGCAAACTGCAACAGATCTAAGGCCAAATGAGACCACAGCTAAGCTATAACAAAGACAGAACCAAATGCACATACATTACTACAGACAGATCACTAAAGCAACTGTTTTGGTTCTTATATTTTATTACTAGCATTTATATAGCCAATATTCCATGAACAGAGTGTGTTCCTGCAGTGTAATCCAGAATCTGGATTTTTTTCCTACATTTAATGGGTAATGTGCCCAAAGCATCTAGAATTTGAATGATGAACTTCCTTGATTTATCAGTTGTCTATTTGTGTTCAAACAATTTTTTTAGGCAGATCCTCCCTTTCTTATTGCTTAACTGCTATGTCTCTTACCCAGATTCACATTTATTATCATCAACAAAATCTGTAACTAGAAATTTGGGTTATAAGTATGCAAAATTTTTAAAAGACCGTATTTGCTTCTAATTTACCAATATAGTCTTTCTAATTTACTAATCTTATAACTGAAATAATTTACTGTATTAAACATAAAAGGGTGTTACTTTTTTCTTATATTTTTTAATGAAAACATATCTTGCGGACTTTGGGGGAGGCATGGCAAACTGAAAATGGCTCTACGAAAACCGAGTCAATGACCATGGCAAAGACCGAGGAGCCAGTGAGTAGACTGGTTCCTTGGAATCTCTTTGGATAAGGAGAGCTTGGGAAATTGCCCGCATGTGCTCCAGATGGCTACTCCTTGCGAGGAGACTGCAGGACAGTAGTTTTTCACAGGTTTGAGCACTGGGAGACAATGGGATTAGTCATCTTGTTCACAACGACAGTGGAGACTTTTAAAGGACACTAAGTTCGCAAACTTACTTTCTAATCACTTTCGGAAATTGCTCTTTAACTACTTCTAAGCTATTAGAGAACTTCAGACTGACAAATCTGAAAACACCAGGTGAGTCTGCCTTCAATCCTGAATGAAAGAAAAATTTAATCATAAGCTTAAGAATTTAAAGAATCTGAAATAAAGAGCAAAAAGCTAAATAAGATTTTGATTTTAGAAAGTTATAAACGGACTAAGGGTCCAGATAAAATTGGAATATTGAAATTTTTACAGTAAGATTTTGGAAGTCGTTATAAAGAGCAAACAGCTTCTCATGGGCAATAGATTGCTTTAGTTTTTACAATACAAAACAAAGAGAAGCAATTTCATGATTTCAAAAACTGGACACTAGAGAGGACTAAAATTTTTAACTAGAGGAAAGATTTACAAACCTGCAAAATGATGCAAAATGTTCTAACAATGAAAATACTGAAGGAGACTTTTGAAGAATGGAATCAGAAAATATTAGCCACAACAATGTCAGTAACGATGTCTGCTTCTATGGATAGACTGTGTCCAAAAGATGTTATTGAAGAAATGACAGGTATAGAACAAATTTTATCTGACAAGATAGAGATGGTATCAAAAGTGGATTTACAACTGACA